AAACTCAAACGATTTTGTACTACAAAATTGTATACATACAGCAACACACTGTAACATTCTTGTATTATTGGAAGTAGAGACATATTTTCTTTTTGTTTATGACGAACAAGTAAACATTTTTAAAAAAACCTTAGTAATTTAAAATTACAAACAATAACAGTTTGATACATAAAATAAAAAAAAGATTTTTAGTATGAAAATAGAGAAAAGCGTAGGAGCCATGAAGGTACATGTGTAACTTACGAAAACTGATATTTTATTAATATACCTATGAAACTTAAGCATTTAAATACTTTTCGATGTCCTTGGTCATTTTTAGGGGATTGGTGCTAGACGGGAATCGTTCAACGACCTTGCCATTTTTGTCGATTAAAAACTTGGTAAAGTTCCACTTGATTAAATCGCCAAAAGTGCGAGGCTCTTCCTTTTTAAGGTATTTCCAAAGAGGATGGGCATTTTTACCGTTCACGTTGATTTTTTCAAACAAATCGAACTTCACCTGTACAATTAAAACATTTTTTTTTCTTTTAATAACAGAAATTGGTAGATTGGAGGGATAAATTTTATTACTTGGGTTCTTACGTTTTTTTTCGCAGCAAATTGACAAATTTTGTCTGCATCTCCAGGCTCTTGTCCACGAAACTGATTGCACGGGAACGCCAAGATTCTTAAACCTTAAAAATAATATTGTTACTTACTTAATTGCATTAAAACGGTACAATAATATTTTTCCCACAAATCACCTTGAGATTCATATTTTTCATAGAGCTCATTTAACTCCTTGTAGTTTTTTGAAGTATAGCCGCATCTCGAAGCAACATTTACAATCACCAATACGTTGCCTTTGTATCTAAAAATTTATTAAAATAATATAAAATTTTACGTGTGTTAAAAAAACTTGTACGATTATCTGATTAGACGCTAACTTTTCCAAAGAGATATCCTCCCCTTTGATACTTTTCGCGACAAAGTCATAAACTGACTTGGCAGTAGTGTAATCATCGTTTCCACTCATCACTTCTGAAAAATAATTTGTGAAATGTCAACACTATTGATTTTGGTTGAAAATTTCCACAGATAAAACGTCAAGACTCTTTTTGTTAAGAAAATAATATTTTCATTTAATAATTTTTAGTTATATAATTCTACATCTACGGTATATACAGCATGCATTTAATATTACGGTTGATGCGCAATACAATAGTTTTTTTTAGCAATGTGATGAATAATTAATTAATGAGCAAACAATGAAGGTTCAGGTGTAGAGGGACCCCAAGGAAAAATGTTAAGCACCGAGCATAGAGAATAGGGAGTCACAGTGTTTGGTATAACTATACCTATGTATGAAAACAATACACATTAAGTACACAGGTTGTATTGATGTATACAAAACACAGGTATTATTATTCTTGCACCTTTAACATTGTACTTTTTTTTTTTTTTTTTTTTT